GCTGGCACCGTTAAAGACCTATGTTTGCTTTCAAATTTTGCACATGACAAAAGAGAAAGGGGGCCACTCATTTCGAGAACTCGACTATAATGGACCAAATTGTGCATTTTGGCTTTCAACGTGTCCTTGGTGACAGAAACATACATACTGTTGAACTCTTCAACTAAAATTCTTAAAGAAGTAGAAGTGGAGGCAGTGATACACTTGCTAAAACAGATATCAATTACTTGACGTAGTTTTAAGAATAACAACCAATAATCATCATTTTCTGGGATCAAGTCACCAACTAGTAGACCCAAGTATTTTACAAACATCATAGTCTCTGAACCTGACATTCTTAATTTAGTGCATCCTTCATTCAACCGATTGTCATTGATTAGAGGAATGTTATTAGATTCACATAAACCAAAATAGAAAGAACTGATGCGATCATTTAAAGTCTCTAGAGTAAAAAATTTGGGGATGCAGTGTTTCAGCACATGTACCACGACATAATGACAGCACCCTTCGGCCAAGTCATGAAAAATATCAACTGAATAATTACTTGTGATGTGGAACGAAGGTAGAGCATTTAAAAAGCAATCAGACTTTACCCCTGTTAATATAGGGGCACAAGCTGCAACATCCTCAGCATATGAAATTTCGTCTCTTAACAGATTAGGCATTTCTATTGCCTGAGTACGAGTGTCATCGATAAAAGCTTTGCAAAATCTACAAAAATAATTTGCAGTGAATCCTTCAACAAAACCACCAAGAGAATTCATAGCTTTGTTATCAGCAAGCAAAAGACAAGTAACAAAGTAAATGCGCTTTTCACCATCATTAGTTTGAACTAATATTCCATCATCTTCAAGTGACTTTAGCATGGATATCAGATGTGCAAAAATCTCCTTATCAGTAAAATCCTTACGCAAACTATATTCATAGAGATAGACCAAGAAAACATTTTCAATTAATGATTGACATTCAGATGGTAAGCATGGCAGAGATGCATAAACAGCATCCAGGACTCTATTGTGCGAACCCAACGGATTATTACATTCTACACCATCACAAAATATATGAAGAGGAAAAACAATGTCATTTACTGAAAATCGAGCACGCTTCTGTTTCCATAAAGGGCACTGCATAAAGTTTTTTATAGTTACATGGTTTGCATCAACACGTAAAGAGGAAATCTCATTTTGAATTGATTCATATGCATCAGGTAACTCCAGGAAATTTTTAAGTGACAAATTTAAAGGAATACTTTGAATAGTAC